TGCGATATACTACATGTTGCCTTTATCTTTTATATTTATTAAATTTTTTACAATTTTGGTATAAAAAATGTTAACTTTTTTGTGTTAACGTAGAATTTGTTATAGTCACATCAACTAAAAAAAAATTAATAAATATAGTGTATTTATTTTAAGCAAAATACAGATTTTCTGTTTGCATTATTATTATCTTATTGATTTTTTATTTTTTATTATTTTTTACAGACGCTAAATGTAGCATTCTATGAAAACAAATGTGTTTCCCAGTAATGTCATTCAGTTAACAATTTGTTTATTGTTATTGTTTATACAGAAGTTAGTTTGAAAATTTTTATAGTTCACTGTGTAATGATATTTTCACATATTGAGAAGTGTAATATGTATGTTTGTATAGTACTATCAATGCAATTTCAATTCTATTCAAGCACTTGCAGAATATAGAAAACCTTCGCTGATATGGATCTCTTAAGGGCAATAAAATCAGCTGTTGTTAATAAAATATGTAATGTTAACAGAATTTTAAATTATGTAAATAGGAAAAATGAGCAAAACAGTGATAGATTTAAGTAAACTACAATGTAGAGAAGGATAGTGCAAGAAGGATATTACAAAAAAAAAGTGCATCTCTTGAGGCAGGAAGATAAACCGAGAAGATTAGGGTTCTGTAGGTGGTGACAAGAAAGAAAGAGGGAAGTTCTTTTATATGCAGAAGAATTCTCTGGTCAGATGTGTCTAATTTTTGTAACAATGAATTTTTTAATAGAAACAATTACATCAAATGGACTAATTGTAATTTACATTGGCACGGAGAAACTGCATTAAAACAGAGGTTTTCAGTAAACGTTTGGGTTAGAATTCTTGATACCAAAATCATAGGACCTTACTTCTATGATAGTAAACTGATGGGTACCAGATATTGCAGATTCTTTGCTTAAAAGAAGTACATTGTTTTAAATTTTTTGTAGTTTTGATGCCAAAATTATAAAAAATGTGATAAATATAAAGGATAAAGGCGACATGTAGTACATCGAATGAAAGAGGAAAAAACAAGCAATTTTTTGTATGTGGATGGCTGTGGAGCCTGTTTCAATAACAATTTTTTTTTTGTCCGCGTAGAGGGTGCAGCAAATTACATACAATACTTCAAAAATATGTTTACACTAGGTGAAAGATATCAATTTTGCCATAAAATTGTATTACAATAAGTTTTCTCTATCTCTTAAAATAAAAAAGTTAGACGGCCCTAAACTTTCGGTACTTTCCCGGTTTTTTAATGATTACTCATAAAGTTGGTCATGGATCCCCATTTGTTTTTACGAGCATAAAGGCCTTAAAAATGCAGCAAAAAAACATTAAAGATTTTTGACATGCATCGTGTATTAAGGGAGATACATAAGAGTGGCCCTATTATAGTAGACAGCCTGTATATTGTATATATATGTGTGTATATTGACGTGTTTTCCAGGTAAAAATAAATAAAAAATATGTATAAACACAATGGAAAGTCTTCATTTTCCAGAATAGGGTGTTACAAATTTCAAAAAAATAATTCAACATTTGAAAATATTGATGATATTATTATAATTATGCAAAATGATACCGGCAACAACAATCCCTTGCTTATTACTAATGAATTATTTGCATTATTAGACAGCAACCTACTTATATGCCCTTAACTAATGACCATTAAAACTTGACGTGAAATTGCCATGAAACGGTAGCAAATATGAGATAAACACAAGAGACAGTTTTAGACCAGGATAAAATGTTTATGCAAAGATGGTACCAGTCTTTACGGGACCGTATTACTTTATTTGTCAAATTAATTGGATAGCCTATCCATATCTCCACCACTGCTATTAATACATATTACTGAGATATATAGCGAGAAACTATGTAATCATAAGTCATACCAAGTTTTATTTAAATATTAAGTATTTTGTTTTGAACACATTAAAAAATATCATTATTTTTTTGGAATTCTTAACACCCTTTATATAAAAAATGAAGCTTTTTAAGTCCTGTATTTATATATTTTCTTTCCTTATTTTTACCTGAACAGGCCTCCCAAAGTTTGAATCCTGAAACACCCTGTACATAGTGACTAATCATGTTTTCTCATTACAGAAAGATCCGAATTTTGTTGCAATACAGTTAACAGGTAGAATACCTTTTGTAGTTGATGTAATATTCGAGACTGAAAGCTTCTCAAATAAACAAGAGACACTGGTTGGAGAAACATACACAAAATCATTAGCTTGGCATGAGAGTCGATTTGATGAAAAATTTGAATCAAAGTTTAAACTGAGGCATAAGGGGTAATTTTTTTTTTTCACTAATTAAATTATTCAGTTCATGCGTAATAAAGTTCCCAGACGGATAAAGTACCGCAATCACCCCCCATTTTGAGGTAAAGTCTCTATTGCCAACCTTAATAATATCTACCCCTCATTCTAATCGATTAACGAAGTCGGAGACTTGTGCGAGAGCAGGAACTGCGTATAATTATTCAGGAAGCCACATTTGCACCCAGGAAGTACAAGATTGAATGTACAGGGTTATTCACGCTATACGGCATGGAATATTATAGCCTATTATACGAGTCTTCCAAAAAGTTTCTCTTTTGGGATATATGGGGGTCTATTATGGTTACTTTTTAAAATTATTTTCATATTATACAGTGTCCCAAGTGTCCTAAAAGTCTCAAAGTTGTGTTTTTTTTAAATGGAATCCCCTATATATTATTGCATTTTTGGATTTTCCGATCAAAATAAGTGCTTGTTTTAATAAGATTTATAATATCTAAACCTTAAGGTTTTTTAAATAATTTGAATTTTATCAAAATGTAACCTAATTTCCTTGTTTCAAATACTTAAGAAGTAATATCAGATGTGGAAGCAAAATTTGCAGTGAAATAATAATAATAATAATATAATAATAACTCTACTCCTCATTCTAACCATGAGAATTAGCCCAGAAGTCGGAGACTTGTGCGGGAGAGGAGGCGGCATATTATTATTAAGCAGGCTGCATTTGCACACAGGAACGACTTATGTTGGTAGGCTCTAATCACCATTCAGTGCAGGAATGAGGGATACCTGGAAAACCTCATTAATTAGGGGGGGTGGTCAAATGCCAACCAGTGTCAATCTCTCGCATTGACCCAAGCCAATATTCTTCCAGCCTACCATACCTGCACAGAGAGTGCCAATCTTCCGTACAAGCATAGCTAATCTACGGTCTATCGGCTGCGGGATTCAAATCCGGGCAGAATTAGCACACATCGTTTTAAGTACTGACGCCGTGCAGCTATCGATCAAAATGTAACAATAGATCATATTTTATATACCTATCATAATACACTTGCGACCACAGGGTGTCTAAAAAATTAAATTGAATCAAATAAGAACTTTAAGTGGCTATAACTTGATTCATTTAAATAGAACGCCATATTTTTTAACTTACCAGAAAAGATAATTTTTATTTACCTATCGAATGGTTTTGTGTTCATAAGTCTTTACGTTTTTACAGAATATGCCAAATAATCGTTCTTTGCACCATTTCGTGTATTTTATATAAAAGTTCTAAATAACATATCAACGATAACATAAAACAGAAGCAAAATATTTATAACAGATGTTCGAAATGCTGACCGTCTATTTCCAGACACTTCTGAATTATTTTTTCAAAACCACTGCTAACTCTGGACAACATTTGCGGGGTTACAGTTTCAAAAGCGTCTCATGCGTATTTTCATATCTTGCGGATTTGTCGGAGGTGTATTGTAGACAATTGTTTAGTTTATTATGATTGGTATAGAAAATATAATCTATTACTTCACTCTAAATTTTGCTTACATACCTGATATACTTCTTAAGTATTTGAAACAAGAAAATTAGGTTACATTTTGATAAAAATTCAAATTATTTAAAAAACCTTAAGGATTAGATATTATAAACCTATTAAAACAGGCACTTATTTTTATCGGAGAATCCAAAAATGTAATAATATATAGGGAATTCCATTTAAAAAAATACAACTTTGAGACTTTTAGGACACTTGGGACACTCTGTATAATATGAAAATAATTTTAAAAAGTAATCGTAACCCATTAGCCCAAAAGTGAAAATTTTTGAAAGCCTCCTATTTTGGCCACAATATTCCGTCCCATATAGCGTGTATAACCCTGTACAATATACAGAGTGATTCAGTGATAATGTCATTAATTTTAACCACATATTCGGAAGGCCTAACATATCTTTATTAGAAAATTGACAAAAAAAAATTACTCGACCCTTTACAAAGAAAAACAAATTACTCCTTAACACCCGTTAATTCGGCACCCTACTTTGTATCAGATTTACTGACTGGGAATGCGCCGGCGCATCACAGAGTGTTCTAATGTTGAAGTGAAACAGCTGATTTCCCCAATAGTCTTGAATTTTGCAGTTGGTTTCAAAATCAAAGTGCAGCAAGTTCCCATTTTATTAACAAAGTGGTATAGATGGCAGAGCTGGGTAATTCCTGGTGAAAAAGTAATTAGCAATTACAATTCCCTTTTTTTCCTGTAATTGTAATTGTATTTAAGTACTTTTTTTTATTAAAGTAATTTGGAATTGGAATTGCAGCAAAATTGTTATAGGAATTGTAATTTGTAATTATATTATTTGAACTATCTAATTACAAATTACTTTTATAAGTACAATTACTTTTTCCAATTACAATTACTTTTTCTAATAATTACAATTACTTTTAAGATCATGCGTATTGCCTAATTGCGTACAGACTTGCAGACTTCTATTATTTCATTTGAGGAAAGCCTTGTGCCGTGTGAACATTAAAAAGTTATTTGATGAATTAACCTCAGAATTAACAGAAAGTAAGTGCATTTTGGTGATAATGAAGAGCAATAATATAAAATTATAGTATGAACTGAACTAGTTTGCAGTATTAGATTAGGAATAAAAATGATAATTATTTATTTTAGTGGCATCCTCTCCAATTTTCACAAAATTTTGTCTACCCCCTATTTTCGATGGTGCTGAACACGAATCTGCAGTTTTTTTTGTAAGGTCAAACCCAGTTTTCGAGAAAAAAAATGTTCAAAATTCTAACCTGGATATTTCAGATAACACTACGTAGAACTCTGTATATTTTATGTAGCTTTCAGAACATCTGTTATGAACAATTAACACTGTTCACGAAACACATTTTCGTAAATTTTCGTAAAGGTACATAAAATATACAGAGTTCTACGTAGTTATCTGAAATATTCAAGTTAGAATTTTGAACAAAGTTTTTCTCAAAAACTGGGTTCGACCGCACAAAAAAAACTTCAGATTCGTGTTCAGCACCATCGAAAATAGGGGGGGTAGACAAAATTTTGTGAAAATTGGAGAGAGTGCCACTATAGTAAATAATTACCAACGCAATATTACACAACACTTTTAATTAAAATTTTTAACTTAACTTTTTCCTTTTTCTCTGTTTGATCACTATAATTTACTTTATCATAAAAGTAATTAGAAAAGTAATTCTAAAGCTAAAGTAAGCTAAATCAATTTTCCATGTAACTGTAATTAAATTAATATAATTCCTTTTTTAAAGAATATTCTTTGTAATTGTAATTAGTTCCTTATTTTAAAAAAGTAATTTGTAATTGTAACTATCTTTAAATTACAAGTAATTACCCAGCTCTGATAGATGGATGATTGAGTGTTTTTTCTAGCCGTACTGTCATTTTAAATAGGTAGGTACCATACTACACTTTGAAAAGCAATAAATCACACAATAAGATATATGTACAAACTGAATAATTAATTGAATATACCTAATACTAAAAAAGCTCGTATTCAATTATAAAGCATAGTGAAAACATTAACAATGTAAAAAATACTAAATATTAAGATAAAAAATATACATTCGAAAACAATTATCCTTATTCATTTGTTTTTATTAACAAATAAATAATACTTGTTACTATTTAAAATGTAATAAATATCTTATTCATTCATATCTCTAGGTAAAAAGCTCTGTTTATTCGTTGTCATTCACAACGGATTAAAAACGCATTAAAAGCTAGGTTAATGGCCGAAATTATAGTAGGTCCAGATTCACTCTCGATAAACCTTTATAGGTCAGCGGTCAGGAGCGGTACAAAAAGGTGGTTGAATAATGATTTGAAAATTTATTTTTTCAGCTTAAATATGCATTTTCAAATTTTTTAATCGCGTATTCGTATTCTACTCATTTTACCCTATCTTCCCTTAAAATTAGTGACATTATGACTAAATCGCCCTGTATATTAAAAGAAAAACACTTAAGGAGGTTTATCTGATTTGGAATTGACGAACAAATATTAATAAAAAAATTAATATAAGCTTGTCAATATGAAGAAAATCCTCAAAAAAAATTATGACTAGTTTGGATACCTAAGAGACGTGATATTAATCAAATAATTTTTCACAATTTAGTACAGTCTTATGAGAATGCAGATTTTTTTGGTCTTTCCACATAGAATGTGCAGCAATTGACAAACAGTTTTTACAGCAACTTGTATAAATGGGAAACCGATATCTAAGGAACCGTATGACAGCTCGTAGAAATCGATTAGGTACTTGTAAGATACATAATTTATAATAATTCTCCTTCAAACTGCTGTTGTTGATTAACTTAACGTCCATATGTGTGATAGCGGCAATGCTGCGGTTCTCGACTAGCGTATTATTTGAAATTCACAGGTGTGACATATGGTGTATATTTCAAGCTTAGGCATCCAAACAAAGCCAGCCAAGTGCAACGTTGCCAAATCTGAAGGCTTACTACTTTAGTTACTAGCGAATGTATAGAAACTCTCGTTAGACTTTTAGACGTACCCCCGTACTGGATAAACCTCCTTAAATACTACTCGCACCTATTTTATTAAAGTATGTGCATGTGTTCGCATTGTGAATATACATAATAATTTTGAACAGTTTATTGTACTACAACCCAAAATTTTAATTTTAAATAATTCAGAGCATTAAATTTTGATATGATGCAAAATTCTAAAAAAAAAACATTTGTTTGTCTTGGAATATTTAAAAATGTCAAAAACAAAGTAATATTTGTCAAACTGCCAAATAATCAGTTGCAGTATTTAGTCGATATGTGGATTTAATGTCATGTGCCACTACTAGGAACTTAATATGATATTTGATTGTGGCAAATATATTATTTATTTATTTCCTATGTATCCGTAAAAAGCTTATAATTATCAAAATATTTAGTTATTATAAACTTAAAATCTTATAATAAATACATTAAAAGTAATAATTATAAAACAATTAATTTAATAAAACACATACATGGAAGAAGTATGAACATTACAAAATTGATTGTAAAAATTAATAGAAAACGAGAATAATTTAAATCTCAAATAGCTGTTTAGGAATTTTTTATGCTACTTTGATTGATAAATATAGAAAAAATACATAAAAATTGAATCCATAATTATTTGTTGTATAAGTTGCCTTGTGAAAAGGATTAATTAACATTGTTGATACTTAAAAATAGATTAATATCTTTAAGAAAACAACAGGTTTCAAAAGTCTTATTGTTTAATTCTTGTTCAAGTGCCATATAGTTAAGTCACTAATTTGAGTGCAATATAGACTGTGTTCAGCGATTGGTCGGACTAGTTCGGTCAAACTTCTTTAGTCAAACAATTCGCTGAAGGTTTTTAGTAGCTGTATTAAAACCTGCCCAATATTCCCAATTCATTGGGCTAACCAACGAAATATTTGTCCGCTGAACGACTTTGACTGGTCCGACCATTCGCTGAACACGGCCATAGTTTGCAAATAATTTTCAATCATCCAACACATGCAAAAATGCATGTTCCCATTAGGATTTTACTCATAATTTTTTTTATATAAGTGCAGTGTGTTTCTTTATGTTTGCTCCCACCATCAATTGTTATTTTTGAAGATATATAAAAATGTCAAGTATAGCGCATAACTAATCCCAGAATACCAATCTTAAATATAATTTTTTAAATCTTATAAATAGTCGAGTTATAATCCTTATTTAAACTGCATTATGTTGGTTATCTATCATTTCAAGCCAATTGTATGAAACTAACAAAGTGACAGAAAGTAAAACTGCAATGAAATATAATATTGTAACAGATTTCGTTTGTATAGTTTGTATAACTTTGTGATGTTATTTTAGTCTGCAAATATTTTTTGATGTAATTGTGAACTAAACACACAAGTATTTGTTACTACTTTTTTTTAAAGGATGATGTGAATCTCTGTATCAACGTCCTCTGAAATTGATCTACTTCAGGTGAAATATATTATGGTCACCACATATTCCAACCAAGTAAACAATTACACGCAGCCATGGTGCATTCATAAAAGTGCACAGACACATATTTAGGAGAGTTAAAACAGGAATTATTAAAAAATTACAAAATTGTGATTAAAATACTATATGTTTTGTCTCTTCTTTTTATTATTCAGCCACTTCATTAGCTGAATCAGCGCTAGATATCTTAAATTAATCCATAATAACAAAATTAACTGCAAATGATATGCATGAAATGAAAACTATTATGTATTTTGAGAATATGCGTGTAAAAATCAGATGAGTAAACAGATTATTTACTTACTTGTACATTTATTTTATTTATCTTTATGAATTACTGTCTGCGTTTTCTGTTACATAACTTGTAACTGTTTTATAGTTTATTTATTTAATTTAAAAGAATTAAACTTAGGCTTCCTTCTAAGATTTCCTGCCTTTCTCTTAAATTATGAGATTTGACAACAATGTACGTCGTAGCACCAAAGTGTCTGCTTCAGCTGCAGTGTATGAAAATTATAAAAGAGTAAAAAAAAATGTTTTCATTATGGAATTCACTACTATAAGTACAACCCCCATTCATAGTTAGACTCTGTTTGTGAGTTGTATGGATTTTTCTCAAATATTTATATCTTATTATATTATATCTAATTTAATAGCTGAAGGTAGCTTGCTAAATATAGGGAAGCATACTGTACATGTCAATTTGAACAGTTTTTAAACAGTATTAATGCCGTAGATATTATTGAAATGATTGAACATAGATTTTGTTTTGTAAATTTGTAACCAAATTATCTGTTGAAAGTATCATTTTTCTTTTAGATTTACAGATAAACAAATAACTTTTGCTCAAGCCGCGTTAGGTAATATGATTGGTGGAATTGGTTACTTTTATGGTGCCTCGGTGGTTCAGAGTGTTTATACTAAAGAACCTGTTTCTTACTGGAGGGCCCCTCTTTACACAGCAGTTCCATCACGGTAAGTCTGGGGTAAATGTTCATTACTGTAGTTGGGTCTGCTTATATTATGTACACTTTATAGGGAAACTTTCGGTTTTAATGGTTAATTTCTAAAGTTAGAGAAAATCGTCTATTAAATTTAACACAGTGCTTTCATAAATGTGTGAGTCTCACATGACCGCGACTGTTAGGCAACCAAACTTACAATGGAGTCAGTGATTAACACAAAATTCCCTAAAGACCAAAAATGAGTCCAGTGGAATACATATTATTACAATTCTTTACAAACATTGAACTTTAATTTGCAAAATATATTTCTTTTTTCTATAGAAAATAATTATTTTTTACATTTTTACTTACAAAATAATCATACTCTAAGATATTTAGAATTTTTATTCCATCCTATATTAAAAAAGTATTTTTTGATTGAAAGATTTAATTAATTTTAAAAATAGAGGCTCTTTTGTAATCCACCTTGTTAAATGAAAATATTATTAATAAAACATAAATTTTTCAGTGCTTTATTAATTTTTTTTTTCAATATTTAAATACAGTGTTTCACTTAAAGTCGGGACACCTCCGTATTTAGGATGGCGTTGGCCGATTTCCAAAATTCTTTTTTTTATGTGGTAGTACTCAAAAAAGCCTACTTTTTGATATTATATTCTTTGACGTGATCTTTTCTACGGCCTACTATCATTAAGAAAAGACCCTCAAAAATTAAAAAACTATTGGGCATTTTTTTAAGAAAGAAATGGATAGCATTTTCCATTTAATCACACCTCAAAACCCTAAATACAAAGTTTCATTATTATAGCTTTTACAGGGTGTTCACAAAATAGGTGCAAACTTCGAGAAATTCCACGTATTGCAGTGTCCTGTATTAAGAGTGGAAAATATTTTCAAGATATTTTTTCATAATTTTATAAACCAAAGGTATATCCATGCAGTTTCATTGATTTCACTCATACAGGGTGCTCACAATAGGACAAGCAAATCATATATTTTTTTTATTATACCAGAAACAATTTTCACAATGAAATAATATTTAAATATTACTGTTTTCTATTAGTCCACATCATTTGGTATGCACTGTTCAATTCGACTCATCTTATTTCTAATAACTCTCAACTGGTGTGGTGTTATTTGTCGACATGTTTGTCTATTACATAAATCTTCTCTGTTCTGGGGCCTTGTTTTATACATTATCTTTTTCACAGTTACCCATAAAAATCAAGTGGCGTCAAGTCTGGAGCTCTTGATGGCCACTCAGCTAACGGACTGTTGCGACCTATCCACTTTCTCAGGAAATACTCATTCAACCAATGACGTACTTTTACCGCATTATGAATAGGTGCTCCATATAATTGAAGGTAGAGGTTCTGCCTTACATGAAGAGGAAATGCATGTACTAAATCCCAGAAATCATTATTTAAAAAATTCTTGCATTTAAATTAACGCAAAAAAGAAGGGCCCGATTATTCGATCACTTAAAATCCTACAAAACACGTACATTTTTTTAATTAAGATTTATGTAATATAATTAGACAAGCATGTTGACAAATAACACCACATCAGTTGAGGAGAGTTATTAAAAAAAAGAGGAGACGAATTGAAGAGTGCATGGTGGACTAATAGAAAATAGTAATACATATTTAAATATTATTTCGTTGTGAAACTCATTTCTGGTATAATAAAAAAATATAATAATATAGTTGTCCTATTGTGAGCACCCTGTATGAGTGATATCAATGAAACTGCATGGATATACCTTCGGTTAACAAAATTATGAAAAAATATCTTGAAAATATTTTTCACTGTTAATACAGGACACTGCAATAATTGAAATTTTTCGAAGTTTGCACCTATTTTGTGAACACCCTGTAAAAGCTATAATAATGAAACTTTATATTTAGGGTTTTGAGGTGTGATCAAATCGAAAATACTATCCATTTCTTTCTTAAAAAAATGCCTAATATGTTTTTTAATTCTTAGAGGGGCTTTTCTTAATGATAGTAGGCAGTAGAAAATATCACGTCAAAAAATATAATATCAAAAAGTAGGCCTTTTTGAGTACTACCACATAAAAAAAAAGAATTTTGGAAATTGGCCAACGCCAATACGGAGGTGTCCCGACTTTAAGTGTAAGTTTAATAATAATAGATATATTAATATACTATCTAATAGTAGTAGATATATAATAATTTACCTTACAAAGCTAACATAACTACAAAGATTTTTACTCAGGTGATACAAATTTATTATATCGAGACTTTATAATAGACATTCACAATGACCATCTTTGTTTTCTGAACATAAATTTACTCTACATTTCATGCACTCAAAAACGCGTTCAAGATGAAAGAAGAGTTATAATGTTTATTTCACGTTCAATTGCTGCTTCCAGCTCTTCAAATCCATGAAGAGGATGTAACCAATATATCAACATAAAATTCCTGAAGATAGTTTGTGCTGCAGTATGTGCTGTAGCTCCATCTTGTTGAAAATACCCATGCTGCAGTTTATCGCCATGCTTTAATTCCCGGCCTTGTTGTAAAATGTTAAGGTTGTTAATTTATAACTTCTCGAAAACTGCTACTGATACCTATCTTCTGAGGATGTAACGTTTTCTGACTATTTACATAACCAAATAAATGTACCTATGCCTCATCGGATTAAAAGGTCAGGTCTAAGAAATTATCATTGTTTAAATGTTCATTAAACCATCCACAATATCGTACTCGTTGGTTGTGATCAGGAGGACGTAACTCTTGGACAATAGAAACTTTATAGAGATGCATATGCAGCTGCTTCTTTAATGCCTTGTGACAAGTCCCAACTGATACACCTACGGACATATGTTGATTGAAATATTCTCTCGACATATCAATATAAAATATAGAATTATTTCTTGTGAATACACAAATTAATCAGCATAAAACTGTAAGATGTTGATAAAAAAAAATAAATTGTAACAAAATTTTTCAAAATTATTTTTTAACTTCAGCTTTATGTTAAACATAAATTTACGTAATTCAAACTATATTAAGTTTATTACGGTACCTATTTGAGTAGATAACTGTGAAACAGCTTTCTTAGGACTTCACACCATTTGTTGTCGAATATATTCAACATTTTCTGTTAATACAAGAGTCTGCCTGTCGACTTGCCCTTGTCTGCAATGTTTTTCCTCATATCTTTTAATAAGGGTTAAACTGTGGTTTTTAAACACACAATATACAGGATTGCAAAGAGTAACACCAAGCTCCATCTGCGTTCCATGTACCACTGCAAAAATGTGCTATCAAAATAAATGCGTCTTGTTCCGGTGTAAACCGCATTTTTACACAAATCTACAAGAAATAAGAAAGTAACAAATGAAACATAATCTTAAAATATTTGTTTAACTTACGTTAAAACGTCGAATTTTCGGAGTTCTGAAGAGAACATTTTTTTTTCAATTCAACAGACAAAGATTTGTAGAAAAGCACTGAGATACTGACAAACACTGCTAAATTGTACAAGGTGTCCGCCGGGAAGGTATACTACTTTGTTTGTTTATAATTTTTGATTAAATGAAAGAGAATGGATCTTATATTGATTAATGTTTTATTTAATGTCGGCAATTATGTATGGAATACAATATCAGATAAATGTCCGCCTCTGTTAGCCTCACAAATGCGAGCCCTTTTGAGCACATTTTTCATTACATTCTCACACATTTCACGCGGTATTTCATTAATTTCATCACGAATATTTTGTTTGAGTTACTCAAGCGTTTCTGGTTTGTTTGCATAAACCTTGCTTTTCAGATATCCCCACAAAAAGAAGTCCGGAGCAGTCAAATTAGGCGACCGTGGAGGCCAATCAACATCACCATTTCTTGAAATAACTTGTTGTGGAAAGAGGTCTCGCAGTAATTCCATTGTAATCTTGGTTGTATGCGATGTGGCACCGTCTTGTTGATATCACATGTTAATCAAGCCCAAAGCATGCAGTTGTGGCGTTAAAAAGTTTTCAATCATATCACGATATCGCTCCCCATTCACAGTTATCGTTACGCCGTTTTCATTTCCAAAGAAGTAAGGTCCAATGATTCCTCCTGACCAAATTGTACACCAGACTGTCACTTTTAATGGATGCAAAGGTGACTGATGAATAATTTGAGGGTTTTCCATTGCCCAGAACCGACTATTCTGTTTATTCACATATCCATTCAAATGAAAATGTGCCTCGTCACTCATTATGATTTTTTCATGAAAATCGGGGTTGTCATGGGCGAGCTGTAACATCCTATTGGCATATGTAGGGCGGCGTAAATGGTCTTGTGGAAGAAGCTCTTGTGTCAACTGAATCTTAAATGGAAACAAATGCAAATCCTTGTGCAAAATTGTGGCCAAAGTTGTTCTTTGAAGACCAAGCTCCTGAGCACGGCGTCGAATTGATTGTTTTGAACACTTTCTTGAGCAGCGGCAATGTTTTCAGCCGATCTTGCAGTACGTTGTGGTCCATGCTTTCACGTAACTTTCTCATCGTCACAGTAATCGATGATCGATTTTGATAAAATGTTTTAACGATTAAATCATGTTACATAATAAATTTGCCACGTGTGTACTTCACGACTGCCAAATATGAACTGTCAAGACTAATGTTTACTAAAATGGCGGCAAAACAAAGTAGTATACCTTCCCCGCGGACACCTGTTACAAACAGATATTAAACACGAAAACTTATGAACGTTTCATCTAGGGTCCTAATTGGTACCTTTTCCTCGCTAATTTTTAAAATGCACATTTATTGAGGCGCAAAAACAAATTTGGTCATGTGGGACTCAGGCACTGTACACTTTGAGTTTGGATACAAGCTTGGATTTAATAAACAAATTTTCTAAAAAAAAAAAATGAGAACATTGGCACTAAATTGTTAATATTCAGTCACATACATACATACATACATACATACATTTGCATTATTTGTTTTCATTAGCGTTCAAGTTTCATTGGGGTTTAAATATGGCATTAAAGATTCTGACATCCATTTTTTTTGTTTAATCAGTATCATCATATCACTAAATATGCCGTTTATTCCCAATTTTTTTTTTAACTATTTAGATAATCGATAAAAGTATTTCAAAAAATGCTAGACTTTTCTTGTATAAAAAATATTCGCAATTACTTTATATATTTTTGTGACTGTTCTCTATGAGATTATTCCAAACAAATGGAGCTGTGCCTAGTTTCATTTGGATCTGATTAACCATTTTGTAAATACTTAAAACGAAGTTTTTTGGCAGTTCACTTATCAACCATGCAACTTTTTTACTAGGACCATTTTGGACCATTCATAGAAAACTTTCTTTTTAAAATTACATTATCTATCAGGTGTGACAGGTTTGGTATCATTTTTAAAAAATACCTGATATGATTTAAGTTTAGTTTTTATTAATATTGGTCAATACATAACGGTTTTGTTTCTTGTTTTTTGTTTTTTGTTGTTTACTGTCATACTGACATTGGTTTGGTTACGAGTCCGATCGCATGAAAAGACCTACGAACTGTGGCTCCTGCAGGCTTGTCCAATAAACCTACATATAATTTATGTATTATTTCACAGAAGCTATATTCGATCACATAAAAATACAATCCGCTAAAAAAAGGGCGTTTCATTAACAATACAAATATTGTAATTTTCTTCTAGGAGTTTCTTTCCTAGAGGTTTCCTTTGGGATGAAGGATTTCATGGATTATTAATTTCAAAATGGGATCTCGATCTAGAATTAGATATAATGAGTCATTGGTTTGATCTAATGAATGTAGAGGGATGGATACCTAGGGAACAAATTTTAGGAATTGAGGCTTTGGCGAAAGTTCCAAGTGAATTTGTTGTACAGTGGAATACAAATGCAAATCCACCAACATTTTTTTTAACAATACAAAGTATTTTAAATCAATATGGTAGTGACCTTAAGGATGACGAATGGAATTTGTTAGAACGATTATATCCAAGATTACAGGTATTTTTATTCACGTCAAGATTAAGAAAATAAATTAATATAATTAATATTTTTTAAGGCATGGTTCAGCTGGTTTAATACAACACAGAAAGGTAATCTACCTGGTTCTTATAGATGGCGCGGACGTGACCAGTTAGGTACACGAGAATTAAATCCAAAAACTCTTACTTCTGGTTTAGATGATTATCCAAGAGCATCTCATCCCGATGAAAATGAAAGACATATAGATTTATATTGCTGGATTGCAATTGCAGCTGATACTATGGCGAAATTATCTAAATTATTAGGAAGAGATGGGTACAGATATGAAAGAACTGCAGAATTTTTAAAGAATAATGATTTAATGGATACCTTACACTGGTCAGAATTTGCAGAAATATATGCAGACTATGGCCTCCATACGGATGCTGTGAAATTAGAACGACCAAAACCACTGCCTAGATCACAAAATCAAAATTTGGAAATGTATAGGGTCGTTTTGAAAAAACCTGAATATAGGTTAGTTGACTCTACTTTTGGATATGTTAGCTTATTTCCATTTTTTCTGCAGATATTAAAACCTGATTCTCAAAAATTAGAAAAAATTTTGACAAACATTCGTAAACCTGAACTACTGTGGACAAATTATGGATTGAGGTCACTTTCAAAATCCTCTCCTTTGTATATGAAACGGAATACAGAACATGATCCTCCATATTGGAGGGGCCAAATCTGGATTAATATGAATTTCCTAGCTACTAGAGCTTTATTTTATTACTCTAATGTAGATGGTCCGTACAAACCATTAGCTAAAAAAATTTATAAAGAGCTAAGGGATAATTTAATAAATAATGTAATAAGCCAGTACTACAAATCGGGTTATATTTGGGAGCAATACAATGATAAGACTGGAGAAGGCAGTGGTTGTCGACCTTTCACAGGTTGGACTGCTTTAACACTATTACTAATGTCGGAAACCTATTAAAATGTTTGTAGTTGGAATAATGAAATATAAGTTAATTATTTAAAAAAATTCTTTGGATTATTTTCATATTTTCTTAATATGTTGATAACGGTACTTACAGGCATTGTCAGACTCCCAGTTATTGTAATGATTGATCAAATCAACCCGGTATCTTTTACATCTATAGAAGCTCGAGAATTGATGAACCAAATAAAAGTTAGAACAATGTTGTCATATCTAGATCTGAAATTTCCCATTAGAAAATGAAGTTAGGTAATTCATTTTGTGTTTTAGGTATAAAATGTACCTAATAACCGACTTTTTACAAAAAGAAAGTTTCATGTTTAGTTTTTTTTTTATTTAATTTTTTTTATACGTTTTTACTTTAAAGATGTCTGAATGAGTAGCATTGATGTGATAGAGCTTTTAAGATGCTTTGTTCATTCTTCTGTTACATATGGTATGTATCATTTCTCTCGTGCACGTGTTTATAGAGGCCTGGTAGTCTGCGTACACATGACATTAGTGTCGACAAAGGTTATTTGCTATTTCTTAATGGTTGTTTTGATTGTTTCATAGGTTGTGTATTAATTTATATCAAATTAATTAAAATCATATATATTGATTATTGTAACCATTTCCAAAAGACAATATACTTGCCCCTGTTTAATGATGAATTCAGCACAACTGGTTCATTCAACTCTCAACCAATTTTAGATGGATCTCCATTCAGCGTAATAAATATGTATATATAGAAAATCATCAATAAAAATTTATATTTAGTGTTACATTATTTCACATAAGTTTCTATAATAATGAATAATGAATCCTGCAAAACCCCCACCCCTATTCCATCCTTAGAACTTCTAGAGAATCATTTTTATTACAGTTTGTAAAGAAAGACTAAGAATAATTCTATGATATTCTAAATTCTGAAAATCTAATAATGGTAACAATTGATTATAATCAGCATCTCTCTTGATAAACTGTCCAATTGACAAACAATATAAATCTGTGGCAAAAAGGAAAAAGGGGATAAGTCTAAATTTCATATTTTAGAGGAGCTAAATAAAACTGTTTCACTAAAAAGTGATTAAAAAACTCTTTTTTCCTGTTTTGTACTTCTGAGGATGACCAATGTCATTTGATGTAAAATATGCACAGAAGTAGACTGCATCTGGCCATTAGTTTTTGAAAAACCATTAAATATATTACTTATCCCTGAATACCTTACTTTATCCAACTTTGTTAAAATTCTCAAAGGTTGCAAGTCGACTTAACCCGTTTTGAGATTTTCAATTTTTTATGTTGACAAGTATACTCAAAATTCTAATTAGCTATAAGTAGTCATACACAAGTGATATAGTAGTAACATACCTGTTTATTAATAATTTTAATGATTGGTAAAAATGATAGTTTCGTACATCACAATAAAACATATTTTTTCTGAGGTTATGTTACTCCATTATATTCAAACTTGCGTTTATCATCGATCACATCAACATTTATACACTTCTTAAGTAAAGTATATCCACAACTATTGATATCCATTGTTTTTCTTTATACTAGACACTTTACTACACAACACAATGTTGTTATTGCACTGTATTGCACACATCCAGTGAAAATAACAGACTGTATTAAGTGCACTTAACCTTAACACTTCAATGTTTAATGAATTTGTTTGGTAATAACAAAAGGGGTTAAGTTGACATATTGCTTTTTATAATTGCTGCCATCTAGGTTAAATTCTATTTAGCTGGGATATGTGTACTTACGACGTTATTGTGTTGCTAATAATCAAGGAAACCTCGAATTAATGTAATTTTAAGAGTTATGTTTACTTAACTCTTTTCTTCGTTAGCTTTATTTGGCAATACTATATTAAGTAGAGATATCCCATTTTGTCAGATCATCAAAAACAATATTATAAATGCTGGGAGAGAAGAATGTGAATTGTGGGATATGTAGACATCCCTTTTTTCCTTTTTGCCACAGAAATGATTTATAAATATCCTTTGAACACTTTCCATTGCATCTTTGTGAATTTGGTAATACGCATTCCAAACTGTAGATCTACAATCTAATTTCGATCTGACAAAAGTGTAACGTATCAATTTGAGAGCTTCCAAGTTGGTAAGAAAACAATTTACAATTTCTCTTTATAAATTCCAACAGTTTTATGGTGTTTTGAGATTTGGTAAAATAAAATTTAATTTGTTGTCAAAATAAATTTCTAAATTGTTTATACTCGCTTATATTATAATTTTTTAATCAAACTATGACTATTTTTTTCCTAGTAAAATACAACCTTTCATTTATTTACATTAATTTCTAATTTATCATATTTACTTGATTCTAATTCATTTGAAGTTGAATGAAATATTTTTATTCAAATATAATTTTTTTTTAAATCATCGGCATACATTATGGCTTCACATTTAAGAAATCCACACAAATTATTAATTAATAATAAATAATAATTGAAGGAATGTCGGAAAAAACATTTTTTTGTAAACTTTAACACCCTGTATCTTAAATATCGAGACCCGCAGAAAAAAGTTTATAGAGCATTCTCTACTTATTTTTTGGTAATGAATCTAGTCCTGCAATTTCCGTATTTAAAGTGAAATCACCCTGTATAGGGTCATTAATATGTATGGGACATAATAATAATAATAATAATAATTATAATAATAATAATAATTTCCTAAAGTAAGATGGTTATCGAAAAATCATAAGACACAAACGTTTTATGTTTTTTAAAATCTATTACAGTAAAGAAAAATTAAGTGTATCAGTCAATAAATATACTTAAAATCATCATACTTCATCTTTATAAGAAATTAGAAATAGATCTCTTTAATGTGTTGATAGACACGGTTAGAACAGGCAAATGGTGAATTCAAGAAACATGATGTTCTAAAAGTACATTTTGAAATTAATATGTGTATTTTGTTAAGTGATAACTATACGTTTGGCATATTTTGACCTGAAAATTAACGAAACAACACCAAGACCATAATTTGTTTTTTTTTAAAAAGCTGCGTTTTCACTAAAATGAGAAGTAAGCCATAACTATTATTAATACACATCCAATTATATTTTTGTATAACAATGTAAAATGTAACATATTGAGTAAAATAGAAATAAATGAGAAGTACACTAAAGCATTTGCATTAAGCGTCCATACGAAAATGCTGTTCCTTCTATCAAAGAAATATGAATATAAACGAACAAAACAAAAACTATCTTGATTACGGTTATGAACACATGTATATTGCCTACAGTAGAGTATCATTTCATTGGTCTACCATCAGAGCGGCTCTAATATACATTTTTACTTATATCTTATCGCTTTTAAAGTGTCCGACATGTATATTCTTATTCATTCTATCAATATTAAAGCGTTTTGCGATGTTGTCACTTTGTGCGTATGTTTATTATTGCATCCATAAGAGACAGGTTAGATAAAGGTAAGACTAGAGCCCAGCAATTAGACTTAATCATTTCTATTAAAAACATTTTGTCAACGAGAAAGACTTATGGAAAGGAGTTACTAAAATGAATTTATTATGATTTATTAGATATGGTGAGAAATGAAATAAAAAAAATAGTTTTAATTTAGCGGTTTTTTAAATTAATATTATCCACAAAATTACTTTGACTTGAGACAGTTCAGGTAATAAATTAAATGGTATGTACAGTGTAGGGGCGTGATAGTTCAAATTTGCCACTTCTTGCTGTAGAAGCACTTTAGGAAAGAATTTTAAGGAACAATTGATTACCCAAGAGGCGGTTTCGATATTTGAATACGTTTACGAGATGAGTACTAGGAACTCTTCATGTCTTTCCGTTGCACATGCTGTTCAATTACTATTTTGTAATATGATACAGGAAAAATTCAAACCTTTTACCTAAATAGTGCGGTTCTAAAATTTTAACATTACCTTTATCAGGACAAAATTTTGAACATTATCTTTTCTTAGTGAATATATGAATATCTTTTTTTCTAATGAAAAGTTATTTCTAGTTAGGTATATTTTCTCGAGTTCAATTTTTGATCTAATTCTGTATTAATTAGGTAAGTTTAATGCCAATTTTTGTACAATTTGTTCTGTTGATATTATGTCAAATTTAGGAATATTTTTTGGCATAGAGCATAATTTAATCCTTTGCTAAGAAATAATTTTTGTCTATCTGCTTTTAGTATACTATATTAGATCTATGGTTTTAACTATAACAGAATTGTCATTTAAATTTAAATATGTGATTTATCTTTCTTGATATAATATCCTAAATAAATTACATCAAAAATCGAAAACTTCAGAAATATGAAATTTGCGGTCACGCTTGGGAAAATGGTCATAATATTCAATGAGGCTAAAATTTTGGAAAAGTAAAATAATGCCGTTAAAGGAAAATTAAAAGAGACTATAATTATTTTATTGAATGGTGAAAGATGTATATTAAATAATTCTGTGAACTTGGATTGTTGCTGACTACAGAATTTAAGGGATGATAATTCGAGTTATGGCATATTTGAGGGCATATAATATAATTTTTATACATATACATTTAATATCATAAAAAAATTATGTTGTAAGGTCGGTTTCACGGCGCCGTATGTGCATTGCTTTTGACGCTAAAAGCCCTATTTACAACATTAAATTAAAATTGTAAATAATGATGATAGAGATTAGGGAGTTTTGGGACATTTTTATAAGAAATTTTCTCTTCTTTTAGGAAATTTTTTCAAATTGACGCTAACGCATTTATTTTCCGAGTTATTTGCCAAAAATCTTTATTTGTTTATAAGTTTTGCAATTGTTTATGTGCGAATACGATTTTTATGCTCATGTTTGTAGACGTCATCCCGAATCGAATGTGCCCTCAAATATGCCTTAACTTGAATTATTAGTATTTTTCATGATTTTGTATCTTAAAATTGAAACTGGCTATAAAAGTATTCCATTTCCACCAGAGAAAACAATTTTAGTCTATTCATGGTACGCAAAAATGGTTTTGAGATTAAGGTATACAACAAAGACGTAAAGAGCAAACAGACGAAAACTCTGATGAAAATGATTAGATTTTGAACTAACTTATTAATTCACTACTAAAAATGAAAGTTCGCTGCAAATGTCACAAATTCTAATACGTTTTGGTTTTCAAAATATCCAGTTAGTTCTGAAGCGGTTAGATCTTTGTCTGTTGCGAGAAATAGAGAATTCGAGCAAAGCTTAAGATAAATGAAATGTAAGTAGTAATGTATGGAATACAGCAATGCCAAATCAAGGGACGCCCAAATGCGAGAAAATATATGATGTTATCGTATACATATTTCTAATATACACAGTCTCCAAGCGGCGATCAGTTGAACTAAAATTATACGGCTGCTATGAATTACCATCACCAAAAAAGTGTCCACCTAAATTTTGTCATATGTTTTATAGCTTATTGTATACACTAACATTGGATGTGCATAGAGCGTCCATATATGGACGCTCCAAATATAAGGACGCTCTATTAAATGCAAGTTGTAAATGTATGGACGCTCTAATAATGATAGGATATATGTATATATAGGGTGTCCCACCAAATCAGTGTGGGGGATGCCTCCGCGAGAGGAATTGTTGCAAGGGGCTGTCCGCAGGGAGGTGTTCTATCACTACTGCTGTGGAACTTAGTTCTAGACTGTGCCACCTCAACTCGGAAGGCATCTATACCATCGCTTATGCAGATGACCTTACTATGCTGATTAGCGGTAAATTCGAAGGGATCCTTTGCCAA